AAGGCTACGAGGAACAAAAACATCCATGTACAATCCAGAATGGGGGCTTCCAAACTAGCTCCCTCTAGAAATGCTGGCAGTGGGAATGCACTGGTAATCCGTGATTTAGGATCACAATCGGAATTAGAATTTCTGTTGCTAAGCAAAGTGGTTGTTAAGTAAGTCGTTATCAGGGATGAAACTTTGGCAGCTATGTGCCTCTGCATTTCAACTTACCTTTAGAGAAATGGGTGGGGGGAGGTGTTACTTTGATGTAGGTAGATGGAGAAATGAAACTTCTTCAATTCAGCTGCAGACCATGGGAGCATGAAGCCTTGTCAAGGACACCAGAACAGGTGTGGATTTGAAGCAGATGGTTCCCATAACAAAGTGGATTGTTGATATGGATTACATAAGAAGTTGAAGGTGTGGCTGCGAAAACTATTGTTTAAGTCTATGAATTGGTGTGGGAACCTCAGAGTTAGTTTTGCTTCGACATAACCATCCAGGGTATTGAATAAACAGTAAGATTTTCGGAAATGGAATTATTCTTGAATTTTATTTGGATTCTCGAGCTGGATGTTGACAGTCATGCCCAATTTTATGATGTTTCCCCATAGTTCTTAAGCAAATTACTGCAGTTGTTAAGTGAATCATGTAGTTATTAAGTGAATCCAGCTTCCCACATTGATTTTGCTTGTCAGATGCTGGCCCAGAAGATCACAAATGGCAATAACATGATCCTGAGATGCTGCAATCTTCCTAAATACATGCTGGTTGCTAAGCACCCAAACTTTGATCACATGATTGTGGGGATGCTGTAATGGTCAGAAGTGCAAGGACTAGTAAATATGGGACCAAAAAATATCATTTGGTTTTTGAGTGAATTTTAGAATATTATTGTTGTATAAAGGTTAGAATAGTTTACTTAGTACTATTTTTAATTAGTAAAGTGATGTTATTATTGTTTTTAATAACTGTATATTTGTTTAAAAGAGAGTTAAAGGAGGTTATAGATATGTTATTTTAATAGTTGATTAATGTTGGTGGCTTTCCGGGTGCGCTTCAAGGTGCTGACCATCATCTTTAAAGCGCACCATGGCATCGGACCTGGATATCTTCGAGACCGCCTCCTGCCGCAGATTACCTCCCATTGGCCTGTACGCTCCCACAGAGTGGGTCTCCTCAGGGTGCCGTCAGCCAGACAGTGCCGGCTGGCGACCCCAAGGGGGAGGGCCTTCTTGGTGGGAGCTCCCACCCTCTGGAATGAACTACCCCCAGAGATCAGGGTGATCCCTGATCTCCCTTCCTTCCGCCGCGCCCTTAAGACATGGTTATTTCAGCTTGCAGGACTGGCCTAGGGGAAATTTTTAGCGGGGGTTTTAAAATAATTTTAAATTACTTAGGCCAATTGTTAATATTTGTCTTTTAATTATGTTTTAACTGTAGTATTTGGTATTTTGTAGTTGTTTTTATCTGGCTGTTAGCCGCCCTGAGTCCGCAAGGAGAAGGGCGGGATATAAATATAATAAACATAAACAACATAAACATAAACATTTTATTGTTAACCCTGTGA